GTCAATTCTACACACTTCTTTGGGAATGTATCTTATTATTATTTATTTTATTTATTTATTTGATTTGTGAATCGCTTACAAGATAATAGGTATAAGAATAAACATGAGTAAGAATACAGGAAATAGGTACAAATAAATGGGGACAATAGGACAGGGACGGTAGGCACGATGGTGCACTTATACACAGTGTCTATCAGTTTCTTTAATAATTGAGATATAAATCAAGTTCAGTTAACAATTTTCATGCCTTGCAAAGGTTTTTTTTTTTAAAGACACATTTTAAATAGCCCATAAATTGCTAGTTTGAACATCACCAAGAGTCCACCCAGTCCTCTGGAAATTCTGTATACATTTCTCTTAATTCTTCTTGTATAGGAATCAATTGCCAATGCATCATCTTGAGCTTTCCATTTATTTGCTACCCTTTCAAAATTGTTCAGAATACTATAGGGATTTTGTGAAGATTTTGGTACCCTAAGTTTGGTTGTTTTCTTGCAGACGTTACCCAACTAGGTAACATCTTCAATGAGTCTTCTTAGGGAGTTTTCCCTAAGCTTTATGTGAGAGAGAGAGAGCATTTAGGAGTGACTTGTAATTGTAACAGCAATTGTGCTTCGATATGAAGCACCTCTTCATGTTTTCTTTGATCTTCCTTAAGTCTCTACCTTCAACTTTATATAAATTTAATAAATTATTCGTATTTCATATTTTTTAACCTCCCATTTCCCTCAGAGAGGGGCTCTGGGCAAAATCTATCTATCTATCTTCTTTCATCTTCTTTCTTCTTGTTATTTTATTTTTATAAAAGGCTGTATGTATGTATGTTGCAGCATAATGCTGGAACACCTTGAGCAATTTCAACCAAACTTGGTACACAGATGACTTACCCTCTGGAAACAAATACTGTGGGGGTAAGACTCCCCTAACACCCCTCGGTTTGCGTGTGAGTGTTTGTGTGCCTTAAAATGACTTCTGCCATGGTAATGGCTTCACAGGACTCCCTCTTGTGGAGGAATAGAAGAATTGCAACACTGCACAACAGACAGTACAACAGCGTGAGTCCCGACTACAGGATTTTCCTGTCTAACACAGGAAATAATGGGATAAATAAATACTGGGGCAATGCAGGGTTATCAGCTAGTAATTAATAAAGTAAACCTTTCCATCATTCAATCTCTCTTCAACAGGTAGCTTTTCTTTCAGATATGCTCAAAAGTAGTTTATCTGTTTTCCTGCTTTTTTCATTGGGAGCTTTGTCTCTTTTAGCTCTCTTCTTCATGAGGAAAACCTCACCCCTCCATTCCTTTATTAAAAAGTCTCATTCTATGTCTTCAATATGGTGTAGGGTTTTCTGCAGAGAGTTGACCTTCAAGGTTCCTTCCAACTCTGTTATTCTATAGTCATAGTTGCCTTTTGGTTAGCTGCGATGTCCAGAACTGCCTCAGTATCCCCATCTTTTCCATTTCTAGTTGTCAACTATGTCTTTTTGAACAACTTTTACCTCAGAATATTTTTTGATATTCTGCCTTTCCACTATCTTTCTTCTTGATCGCTAATTTCTAGGAGATAACGGCTTGTAGGAGCTATTTCCCACATATTATATAGAAGCATAAAAATTGCTTTATGACTAGCAAAGATAGGTCTGAAGAGGGGTGGAGTTAGTTCCTTTTTATAGGCTTATGTAACTCAGAAAAGTGATGTGATTATACAGCAGCAAGTTATGTGATTAGCACTAGCACTGATGTTGCTACCTAGTGTGGAAAGGGAATTTCACGAAGGCAGTAGTGTCACAAAAAAAAACAGGAAAAGCCCAAGGGGAACATCAGGTCAGCCAGAAAACAAACTTACATAGGAAAAGGAATCAAATAAAAAGTATAAGAAGCTAGCTAGCCTAGGAACGCAGACTTCTCGCTGTTCTCCACCTTCCTGAAAAATAAAAAGATCCAGCTTTCAAGCAGTTGTCCGTATCCTTGCGCCAGAGCTCTCCCAGTGGGAAAATTGAATCCTCGAAAGAAAGGCATTTTGACACCTTTCAACACTAGTTTGGGTAACGAAACCTCTGCAAGAAAACAAGCAAGCTCAGAGAGCACCAAGGACCCTCAGTTATTTGATTGAATCGTATCCTCAGTGAGATTACAGAGGCCATTCAGCTATGGAGTCCTGAGGCAAGAGGACTACAAAGACCAGGATTTTGAAAGAACAGAGGGACACTATTCCATGAGCAGAATTTCTTTCATAGTTTCTAACTCTAGGGAATGTGTTTATTCATAAATAAAATATCAATATGTACAATACATAAACTACTTTCTTTTGCTTTCCCAGAGATTACTCATCTCCCAGGTCTTTCTCAGCATATCAAGTTTCCTTGGCATTCTAAATATTTTAGGACAGTTTTAGTGTCCTTGGCTCAGTGTATTTGAGTTTTTTATGCCTTAGCCGTAAAAACTGAGTGACTTTGGGCCAGTCACTCACTCTGACCCAAACCCACCTCACAGGGTTGTTTTTGTGAGGAAAATAGGAAGTGTGTATGTGCTTGTTGTCTTGAGTTCTATAATAACAACGGGATGAAAACCTAATATAGTAATAATAATAGCTGCCTAGTAATTGTACTTGGGGGGGGGGGGGGGGGGGGGAATATGGCCCTTCTGATTGGGTGATGGTTTCTTCCTCTGCAGCCAATCACAGGCTCCAGCAATTTCTGCCCACTGTTGCCCTTGGAGACTCCCTCCAATTTCTGAGGGTTTTCGAAGGCGAAGGTGGCAGAAGAGCTCTGAGGCCTGGAGGGACAGGCTGCTCCTCTTGAGGCTGAGAGGCAAAGGAGTAAGGCTCAGACAATAACAGAATAGTGGAAATGGAAGGACCTTGGAGGTCTTCTGGTCCAACCCCCTCCCCAAAGCAGGAGACCCTATACCATTTCAGAGAAATGGTTGTCCAATCTCTTAAAACCCCCCAGTGATGGAGCACTCACAACTTCTGAGGGAAAGTCATTCCACTGATTAATTATTCTCCCTGTCAGGAAATTCCACCTTAATTCTATGTTGGATCGCTCCTTGATTAGTTTCCATCTACTGCTCCTTATCCTGCCTTCAGGTACTTCAGTGCTCAATGAATTGAGTGCCCTTCTCTTTGTGGCCCTCAAATATTGGAAGACTACTATCATGTCACCCCAGTCCTTTTTTTGTTGTAAGACTAGATATACCCAGTTCCTGCAAAAAAGTGGGAGCATACTGGATCTTAAGGGGAAAGGACTCCCCAGGACAGAGGCCCTCATGGAAAAGGCATGCTTCCCAAGTCTTCCTAGGTAGCAGTGTTGAAGGGAATTGGGCCTACTCTAGCTAACAGAATAACTGAGTTGGAAGAGACCTTGGAGGTCTTCTAGTCCAACCCCCTGATCAAGCAGGAAACCCTGTACCATTTCAGACAAATGACTCTCCAATCTCTTCTTAAAAACCTCCAGATTAGATAGGAAGATGTCCTTATGTAGGATTGGTACAGGTAACCCTCGACTTATGACCACAGTTGAGACCAGAATTTCTGTTGTTAAGCAATAAAAATGTAAAAACCAGGTGCTGTAATAAAACTGAGGGGAGCTGCAGTAAACTTATGCTACTGGGCTGGCAGCCTAGAGTGCTTTCTGTTATTTAAGCAAGACAGTTGTTAAGTGAATCGTGTCCAATTTTACAACCTTGTTTTGCTGGGGTTGTTAAATGAATCACTAGTTGTTAAGCAAATCAAGCTATCATTAAGCAAATCCAGCTTCCCTCATTGACCTTCCTTGCCAGAAGCCAGCTGGGAAGGTTGCAAATGGTGATCACATAACCCTGAGATGCTGCAACCGTCTTCATATGAGCTTGTTACTAAGTTCTCGAACCATTTTCACATGAGCTTGTTACCACAGTCTCGTTCTTGACTGTGAGGGTGTTGCTACAGTCATCATTACGAGAACTGGTTGTAAGTCACTTTTTTCAGTAGTGTAATAACTTTGAATGGTCATTAAGCAAATGGTTCTATGTCAAGGACTGCCTGTATAGCTAGTTTTAGTCAGAAAGACCCCATTTGTTGAAAGATATTCATTTTAACATCTCACTTCTTTTTCTTAGATGTTTTTGTCTTGCGGCCTCTCATTCTTGGGCCTTACATCCAGGCCCTAAAATTCTTAAAAGTCTATATGACAGCAAAGAACACGTATCATCCTGAAGGAAAGCAGCAGTGGAAACAAGGCTGAGCCTCTTGTTGCAAACCATAACTTAGAACGTGTCCCATTTTTTTATCCATTCACTGGAGAAAGAAATTATGTTTGAAAGAATTGGCACTAAAAGGAAACCAGGCCACCAAAGAATAGGGTGGTTGGACACCATCACACCTGACACCCGCCAAAGCATAGAACAACTCAAAGAAATAGCACATGATTGAAATATGCGGAGAGACCTGATGGATAGAATTGCCAAGATCTGGACACGATTGAATGAATATAATCATCGTCGTCGTCATCTCCCAGGTTCATGTTGGAGATGAATTATCTTGAAAGCTTTGCACACTTAACTATTAGCCTTATTGATTAGGGACAGAGGGGTGAGGGCTGTAATATTGTAGGAATGAACCCACCTTCTGGAAGTAGCATCCTTTATCATGGGTGTGAATACATTGTTGCTTTTTACCTATTACTATTGATTATGTGATTGGTTTTCCAAAAGTGTGTAATAGGCATGCCAATTTGAGAACTGAGGGCTGTCAATAGGTGATGTGGTATGATGTAGTCCTGAGATCACATTTCTATGCACTGCACCGAATAAAAAGTGTCATCTCAACGTATCTCAAACCAGATGTATATGAAATTAATACATATTTATAATGCATATTTTCTGTGCTTTTTTTTACAGTGCTAGATGCATCAGGAATTCTGACATTCCCTGGGGAAATAGGCCACATTTATACCAATACTAATGTCTCTAACAAACACATGTGCATAATAGAACAGAGTGTGCTAGGTAAGATCTGAGTAGCATTGCCCCAAAGCATTTATTAGCATTTTTTTTTTCTTCCAGAAGCTTCAGAAGCAGCAGGTCATTCATTGGTAACTATTAGCTCTGCATTTCAAATGATCCTTATGCTGAAAGAAGAAATTACATTCCCTTCTTTGGATCTGGGAGAGGAAAGATGGCGTAATCGGCGATGTTGCATTCATTTGATCCTTTGGCTAAGCGCATGTAACCTTTCTCACCCCAAAGATTGGACCAGCTGTGAAGGTAAGAATACAGAACATTTAATCTAGAGTTCTAGACAGTCACTTATTTGAAATAGTATAGGTTCTCCTGCTTGAGCAGGGGGTTGGACTAGAAGACCTCCAAGATCCCTTCCAGCTCATTCATTCTATTCATTCACTCTCTGCAATTCCGCGGCACAGTGGATGATGATTCTAGCTGAAGTTTCGCCATCTCCAAAATCATGATGCAAAAGGAGGTTTTTTGCCATGTGTTAACAGGTGGCAGCCATCTTTAAAAGAGGAGCTATATGGCAACATTAGACTAACTTCCTGGTCCATGGCTTCACAGAGGATATGCAACCTGACTTCCAGATGGAAACTAAGCAAAAGAAGATCTGGGTATGTTCATCCTGCAGACCTCACACAGCATCTGCTGGGTCTCACTGCATAAATGGGGCATTGTATCCTCCCCTCAGTGTGACTACGGGTGTATATCACATCATGAGCGACTGTAAATTGAAGGCATATACTGCTCTAGTATCTGGTTTTTGTTTTTTTCGTTTTCTTTCATATAATGCTGAGCTTTAAAGGTTAGACGGGCTAAACATTGGTTTTTGAATATAGAATTTTTTTAGCATTGACATTCTATAATAGTTCAGCTAACTTGGATACATGTTTGGCCCCAATGAGAATTCATTTGCAATTTCCCACAGCGCAGAATAATATCTTCACATGGAATAGTAAGAGAAGATAGGGGTTATAAGGCAAATGCACTCTGAGAATATTGTGGGTGCCTTGTCCATTTTTACAGAAAGCTAAGGCACAGAGTACAAATATCCACTTACTCCAGGTAAGAAAGAGCTTCCCATTCTATTTTCAGGTGATGTTACTTGAAGATCACCTTCCTCAGCTAACATCCTCGGTATGAGTTGGAGTACAACACCCACCATCTCCAAGTACTTTAGGAACATTGTCTTCCAACCCAGCTAAAGGACATTCTTGGGAGAAGCAAAATTTTAACATGGTAATCCGCCCAGAGTTACCCTGTGATAAGCTCAGCGGCCAATAAATTTAATAAATAAAGTAAAGTAAAATTGCTCTGTGACGAAAAGCCCATGGGAAAAACAGGTAAGTTATACAGTAAGTAAATTTCTCATTTCTTACACTTCTGCAGATTGATGTCTGTTTACTCACCTGTTCTTTACAATCCAATAGCCATTGCCCTTGCTGGAATTGTTATAACCCACAACCAGCACACCATGATTTAAGT